TGGCTGGGTTGGCCGTGACCTCTGCCCCTATGCGCCCCCGCCTCACTTTGAGGGGGGGGTTGAGCTGTGTGTGGGCGGGGCCAGGACCCCGAGGGTAGACTGCACTGGGGGACTGGGAAGACCTGTGGGGGCGCGACTGGGCCATCGGGGGAGGGGGCACGAGCCCTTGGGGGGGTGCTAGAAGGGGAGGGAACCATAACCCCCGCCCCCACACCACACGCGCGTGCACGCACGCGCACACACTGGGTCTCTCGGCGGTGGCAGGATTTGCCCCCATGCCCCCAGCAAACCACCAGTTTGGGGGGGTGCATGTGACATTGCCGGGGCGGGGAATATTTGGGGGGGCAGCCTTCCCCCCGCAGGATGGTCACGGTGGGGGGCAGGGTATTGCCCGCTGGGGGCAGAGGGGGGGCATGCTCCCGTTTTTGTGGTTGGGGGAGATGGCTCTGTTGTAGGTTCAGGCCGTGGGTCCTTTCATGGTGGGGAGGGGCATGACCCCGTGACGGGGGGTTGGGGCATTATGACCCCCGTTGCACTGTGTTTGCAGGGTGGGGGGGAGCTGGCAGAGTGGGGATTGGGGGGTCTTGGTCTCTGGTGCTCCCCCCCCCTCCCTGCTCATGCCCCTGTCCTCCCTCTGCCCCATGTGGCAGAAGTGGGGGCATCGCGTGGGCCCCCCGTGCAGCCCTTGCGGGGGGCTGGGAGCAGGACACAGAGGCAGGGAGCAGCGCAGGGCTCAGCTTTATTGAGGGGCGGCCGCAGCCGGACCGGTTCTGGGGCGTGCTGGGTACACGGTGCCCACCTCCGCCCTCGGCTTGCAACAGGAGCTGATCGGCTCACGGAGCCGCGCGACCGGTTTGCGGCGGGGCTGGAGCAGCTTCGCGTGAGCGGCGGGGGGGCCAGGGCAGCACAGGCCGGGGCCCAGGGGCACGCATGGCAGGCTGCCCGCGGCAGGCAGGCAGCACGGCTCAGCAGGCAGGGGTGCAGGGCACGGAGGTAGCGTCGGGGGGGCATGTGCAGAGCTCTGCCCCTCCCGCAAGCCCTCTTGGGGCTCGCCCCTGCAGCGCTGCAAGCGGAGGGGAACATGGCAGAGGCAGAGCAGCGGGAGGCCAGCTTCCTCCGGAGCAAGCGTTGGCTCTGCAGCACGCGCAGCAGCGTGGCCCCCTGCACCAGTCTCACTCCCGCCCCTGCGCTGGGCAGGGGCCTCGGCCCAAACCCGGCCTGGTGCCAGCCGGTGCCCGCGGGCTGCAGGCTGGGGCCATGCCCACGGTGCGAAGTGCTGGTGGGTGGGCAGGGAGCACCCGGTGCCGGCATCACTTCAGGCAGCGCGACAACATCTTCAGTGCAGCTGGACTAGGCCCAGACCTTTGGCAGGCGTCCGGCTTCGGTCCCTGCAAGGAGAAGGAGAAGGAGAAGGAGAAGGAGAAGGGGGGTCAGGCAGCCCAGGACACAGGCCGGAGCCTGTGGCCTGCACCGGGCACCTCCCGGCCATGGGCACCAGAGGCCCTGCCCTGCCCTGCCCCCACCTCACGCTGGCCTGGAGGTGCCCAGTGTGCAGCCGGGAGGGAGGGAGGGACAGCCCTTGCCCTGCCTGTTCGCCCCTGCCGGGCCCCGGGCCAAGGCGCAGGACAGCAGGTGCGTGGCACTCACCGTGTACAGCTCACAGACCAGGTTGAAGAGCGCGCTCTGGGCCTGGGCCTGCAGGGTGTCCGTGTGCTTCTGCGCCGGAGAGAGAAGGGGCCGTCAGGGCAACAGCATGGGCCGAGAGCCCCAGCTCCCTGCCCACAAACTGAACAGAAGCCTCCCCCAGCGCCAGCCCAGCCCCCACACCGGGCTCAGGGCAGCCGTCCTACCCCGTTGACCAAGATCCAGGGCACGTAGCTGTGGGGCGGCTGGAGGGCATCTGTCCGCTGGGCGTTGTTGTGCATCAGCTTGATGCCCCGGTCTCCCTTCACGCAGGCCATGATGTCAGACAGCTTGACGGTGGGCGCGTAGACCTGCAGGCACTGAGCGTGGCCAGGGCGGGGGTCAGTGCAGGGGGCAGGAACCCGGCCCGCCGTGCCCTCCTCCAGCGCCCAGCACGAGGGCAGGCAGCGCCTGGGCCACGCTCAGCCCGGAGCAACTACCGGCTCCCTCCAGGGCAGGGGCAGGCAGCGCAAGGCTCTGCTGGCCGGCAGCACTCAGGGAGGCATCCCCATGCCGCGGGCTTGGCCCGCAGTAGCCCCAGACTCTGCCCTCGCTGGGGCACTGCCAGGCAGGACATGCCAGCTCGCAGGGCCCAGCAGGCAAGGGGAACGGCGCCAGGCACCCTGCTCACCCCCCGGCCCCAACCTACAGCGCCGAGGTTGCCGGTCACGGACGAGCCCGACTCCATGCAGAAGATGGTGAGGAAGTAGGCGTCGAAGTCCTGCAGCACGTCCATGAGGCAGGTCTGGGGAGCAGGCCGGCGGGGCCGGGGTCAGCACGGGCAGGACAAGGGCAGGGCAGGGCAGGGCAGGGCAGGCCCCCCACCCCGGCCGGCGCCCGGGCTCACCTCCATCATGTTGCCCAGGCACTCGTCCGCGCCGTGCTGGCACTCGAACTGCCACCGCCCGCTCACGTTCCTCTCCTGAAAGGGCAGCCGCTCA